TTCACTCTCTCTCGTAAAATTAAAAAAAAAAAAAATCAGAAAACAAAACCAATCATACCAAAATTAATAAATATGATTATGAAAAATACTGTTATGGATGTTTATGCACAAACTTTTACACAGAACATGTCATTTCTCTTGGGTATGTATCTGGAAGTAGAAATTCTGGGTCATGTGGAAATTCCATGTTTAATCATTTGAGGCACCATTAGACTTTTTCCAAAGTGACCTCATTTTATATTCCTACCAGCAAGTTATGGGGGTTCTAATCTTTCTACAACTTCATCTTTTTACTGTCTTTCTGATTCTAGCTATTCTCCTGGGTGTAAGTGGTACCTCATTGTTGTTTTTGTTTGTATTTTCCTGATTAAAATAACGTTGAGAATCTTTTTTTTTAAAAGAATATTATTAAAATTTATTTTTAATTTGACCAGAGGACACACACACACACACACACACAGAGAGAGAGAGAGAGAGAGAGAGAGAGAGAGAGAGAGAGAAAGCAAGTTGCCAGGTCCAGGAGTTGAACCCTGGCTGACCATGTGGGAGTCCAGTGCCCTTAACCACCACACCACCTGCTGGCCTGAGAATCTATTCTTATGCTCATTGACCACTTGCATATCTTCTTTGGGAAAATGTCTACTCAGATATTTGTTCAAATGTTTTAAAGAATTCTTTATTTATTATTTTCCAGTTTGATCAGAGAGACAGAGAAAGAGGGAGGGAAAGTGAGAGAGCAAGCCACCAGGTCCAGGACTTGAATTGTGGTAGGCCATGTCAGAATCTAGTGCCTTTAATCACCATGCCACCTGCTGGTCCAATATTTATTAATTTTTAAGTTTTTATTTTTTTTTAGACTGAGTTATCTTTGTACAATCCCTCTAGGTAAGTACATTATCACATTTAACATTTGCAAATGTTTCTTCCTATTCTATAGTTTCACTCTTCACTTTGATGGTGTCCTTTGAAACACAAGTTTTTAGTTTTATCAAAGTCTAAATTTATATTTTTGTGTTGCCTTCACATATTTAAGAAACCCACACCTAATACAAATTCACAAATATTTATACCTGTTTTGAGTTTTATAGTGTTAGTCATTATAGTTAAGTCTTTCATAAATGTTGAGTTCATTAAAAAATATGAGAGAGGGATAAAACTTCATTCTTTTCATAGATATCATGGCTATCCAATAGTCACAGTATTTGTTTAAAGAGAAATGTCTTGTCAGTCAGGTTGAAAATCAATGAACTATAAATGAACCCTAATTCTGTAGTCTCATCTTTCCATAGATCTATGTCTACCTTTATGCCAGTACGACACTCTTCATTACTGCAGCTTTGCAGTACATTTTCAAATCAGGAAAGGTTCTTCCATTTATTTAGGTTTTCTTTCATTTCAGAAAATGTTCTTTAATATTAAGAATGAGTTCTGCACTTTTGTTAAATTTATTCCACAGTATTTTATTCTTTTTGATGGTGTTGTATGTAGAATTATTTCGTTTGGCATAATTCAGTGTGGCATACACAAACACAATTTTGGTATACTGATCTTGTATCATGCAACTTTGCTGAACTCATCACTTATTCTGTCTTTTTAGTGGCTTCCTCAGAATTTTAATTATTCAAGATCATGTTACTTACAAATAGAGACAATTTGACTTTTATCTCTCCAATCTGGATGTCTCTTTAGAATTTTTGAGCGCTAAATAAGTCAACGCAAGAATATCTGGAGGCTTTAAGGTCAATACTGCATAGATTCATTTATTAAAAAATAAAACTAAGAGGAAAAAGGTGCTATAGGAGGAAAAAACTAGAAAAATAAATAGAGGCAAAATACCTGGTTTCCACAGCATTATTAATTTATTGTGTGATCTTAAGCAAGTTTCCAATTCTCTTCCGGTTATATATTGGATTTTCCAAATCTTTTTTCATTTGCTTTATCTGGGTACTTCAGGGACTATTTAGTCAAGACTTACTTTCATCATTTTATTCAGCCATTACAAGAAATTTTATTAAATATATTGACCATCCTTCTCCCTTTCATTTCTACTGCTCATAGAGGAGACTAAGGTTATGAAAAGAAAAAGAGCACATTAAAGGTATCTTCACATTGAGAGAAAAATCTCTCAGGAATGGGCAATGAAAAAACATTGCAATAATGCAAACAATCATAACAGTTGTTACATTTTTCTTTTTTTGAGAGAGACTTTTGCTATAATGTGTGTACATTCGTAGAGACAGAGACAGAAAGCAAGCAATTACCCCCTGGAGGGGTGGTCACACCACAATCCCTTCTCCTCCAGTCATCACTTGGGATTTTGGGCACATACACACCCAGCGTGAGTTATGAGCCACCCCTGGGACTCAAACCACAGTTAACTATGTGGGAGTCCAGCAACGTAACCATTACATCATCTACTGGTTCCAAGAGATACACACACACGTGTGTGTGTATATATATATATATAATTTTTTAGTTTTTGCTATAGGGTGTATGTGCTCATGAGGGTAGGAGTAGTTAGAAATTATTCCCTGGATGGGCTGGCCATGCCACGATGCCTCCTCTTGGGATTTTGGCCACACATACACATGCACCCAGCTTATCTTCTAAGCTGCTGAGCCCGGACTTGAACCCTACAGTCAGTCATGTGGTTATCTTAACTACTATACCACCTGGCTGGCCCAAGAATTATGCTCTTGAAAACAAGTATGAATATAAATGAATAGCTTAGAGCTTGTGGAAATAAAAGTAAAAATGAACAAATGGATGAAGCATTTACTCTAAGTCCTTTACTAACATTCTAAGACTACAAAGAATAGTCAGCAAGGATATAAAGAATTAAAAATACATACATTATCTAAATTTTCAACAGAGGGCCATCTCTGAAAACATAAGATTTAGGTAGCATTTTAAAAATGATAATTTTCATCAAAATGAAAGTATATCATGATATATAGATCCAGATTAAAGCATCCAATCAAACATTACCTCCCCTCTTCCTCTGCTAATACAGATAGTACTAGAATAATAAATTTGCTTAAGTATTTCAAATTCTATTTCAGGTACTTTGCAGCCTAAGTTTTAATCTCTGCCATAAAGGAAGAGGACTATCCAAACAAGGACTAGAATCTTTTCCTTTCTTAGGACATTGTAGAAAATTAAGAGAACTTTTTGCTGGGTCTGGGAAATAGTTTTCCTCATTTCCAGGTGTCTTATAAGACTTAGCACACTGTTCGGTTTCTTTGATATGTATCTTAGGGTTTTTCAACTTGGTTGAGTTGTTTTCTTTGAATTGGGTTGAGTTATGCTTCTTAGAACTGTGTTTCATTTTCTGAGTTGCATACTTAGCTTTCTCAAACACTGGAGCACTTTCTTCATCAGAGGAATGTCTGTCAAGGCAAACACTCTTCTTCGTTACAATTTTCTGAGTTGTCTGAACATCAATTTTTCTACTACAATCTAAGGTAGTTTTTGCTAGTCTAACTCTAACATTGGAAGTTTCTACTGCTGGTTTACTGACAGGATAGTGTACAGGAAAATTCACTTTATAGTTTTCTTGAAGCAACTGGTCTCCTTTTAGAACTTTGGAGTTTCTGAATTCATTTTGCAAACAAATTCCTGGAAGATCCTTTGAAAGATGTAATGGACTATCAGAAATATTGCGGGCAACACCAGATTCTTTTACTCTAGGTAGGGACAAAGTTTTCAGGTCAACATCTGGTTGCACATTATCTTGAGGACATGATAATTTTCGAAGTATTCGTTCTTTTAAAGGCAAATCCTGAAGATATAAATCAGTAATGCCAGAAAGTAGATGATCTTCAGGACTAATCCTTTGAAGATTCCAATCCAATACTTTAGTAATGTTTGAGGTGCACCTTTCTGATTCATGTGACAACTGTTCTGAGTTATTTTCATGGCTATAGGGGATGGTTGATAGCTCTGATTCATGTTTTGAATTTAAACCATGAGAGAAAGTGTTTCTTTCAAGAGCTGGAGAATTACTAAAAGAAGTACCTTCCCAGTCAATGGTGCTCAAGTGTAGATTAGCAATCACAGATGTATTATGGGATGAGGTATTGGGTTGACCAGATTCTAAAATTAGAGAGTTACTGACAGCTGTAATTTGCTGTATAGCAAAAGGTCTTGGAGAAGATATTTGCTCTTGCATATTTAAACAGTGAGTATCTTCAGGTAGAAGTAAGCCATTCAATGAAGCTGAACTAGATTCCTGTGGTAATGTAGGCTCAGGAGAAATTTCCAAATTTAATTGGGAATTTTGCTTAGGAAAGATTTCACATATGGGTTTTAAGTTGGTGCATGACTGAAAATTCAATACACTATCTGATTCTGGCAAAGTTTTTTCTTCAGATTTAATTTTCGTACCTGAAAAAAAATAAAAAATATAGTTAATATCTATTTCTTTTCTTTTACTTGGTTATAAAAATCTTCTATATGAGTAGTTTTTGCTTTTGTAATTTTAGTTCATTTCTAGAAATACTATATTTTTCTTTGGAAGCAGTGTTATAATCGAGTTGTTTTTCTCACTGAGTTCTGGGAAATAAAATGTATTTATAACCCAAAGTATGTTATACAGTAGTTGCTCAATAATTATTGCTATTATTATTAACATGAGATTAAGTTTGTAGACACAGAGCAGAATGGTTTATTCCTGTCCTTTGAGTCTTAAAAGATTGTGAAGATAAAGAAGCAAGAGTACAATTTGTACTCTTTATAAAACTTTCAGCAAAAAATTCAGGCATGACTATTTCAAATAAAACAGGTGGCTCTTCTGTAACATTCATGTGAGGCATAAACATCAAATCTGATACTTACTTTTTTGCTTCTTTCCTTTTATTTCTAACTTTTGTTTTTGGTAATCAGTAACAATTTCAGGATAGGCTGCTTCAAATAATGATTCTTCTTCAACTGTTAGTAGACCCAATTCTCCACATTGTTTATCATCTACAACATAATGTTCTAAAAGATTAAACAACAATAAGGTAGCCTTAATTACAGATTTGAATAATTCAACTTTTCTTTTTCTTTCTCTCTCTTTTTTTTAGAGAGAGATTTTTACTATAGGGCACATGCACTCACCAGAGACAGAGACAGAAAGCAAGAAATCAATCCCCAGGGGGATGGTTGCACCACAATCCCTTCTTCCCCATCTCCTCTCAAGATTTTAGGCACAAAAGCACATGTGCCTGGCATGAATTTGAAGATGCCAGGTCTGGGACTCAAACTGTGGTTGACTCATGGGAGTCCAGCCACATAATCATTAGGCCATCGGCTGGTTCCTAACTTTTCTAGGTAATAAACTTTACCAGGTAAACTAAGTCATCCACAAATGGCTAATTCATTGCAAATCCTTATTTATCTCTATTCAAATAATCTGTTGATACCAGTACAGAATTTGTTTTCTTTCATTTGGCAAGAGTTAGAGATTCCTTTTACATTAAAACTTTAAATTCCCTTGTTTCAGAGATAGTAGCAGCAGCATAGAGAAAACTTTGTTTAGATAAGGTTGGTTCATTTTATTTTAGCAAGTGTTTAAATTCTAGACAGGATTTTAAAAGAGTCCCCTGCAATCACAATCCCGTTCTGGTCAAATTAAAATAAATAAATACATAAATAAAATAAATAAAGTTCAATAAAAAATTCTTTGAAAAATAGTATTATTTTGGGACCAGCATAAAGCGTATTGGTTACATTGCTGGACTCCCATGTAGTCAACCCCAGTTCAAGTCCTGGATTCAGTGGCTTAAAATTCATGCTGGGTCCATGTGTGTACATGTCCAAAATCCTGAGAGTAGAGTGGAGGTGAAGGGATTGTGGCATAGCCATTTACCCTGGGGGAGGGGGGGTGATTTCTCACTTTTTGTCTGTCTCTCTGGCGAGTGCGCATACCCTACAGCAAAAAATCTCTCTTAGGGAAAAAAAAAAAGAATTATTTCATTGAGTTATTGTTATTATTTTAAATTTGCTATAGTGCACATATGCATATCAGAGACAGAGGAGAAAATGAAAGTGAGAAAGTAAGTCACTAGGTCTGGGACTCAAACCACGGTCACCTATGTGGGAGTCCAGAACCCTAACCACCATACTATCTGCTGGCCCCATATGCTCAGTCTTAATGGATTCATAAGAGGCTGACAAAGAAAATGAGAATGTTTATATGTAAACTTATAGTACGATATATAAATAGTAGACTAGATTCTTGTGTTTATTTCATATGAGGGCAAAAGAGTATGAGAAGCCAAATTATAATGAAAATATTAATAAGTTTAAAGCAGAAACAAAGGAAACAGAGTTGATTTTTAAGTTTTTGGAAGTTTTCTACAGGGCATGCATGCTTGTCAGAAGACAGAGAGAAAAATAACCCCCTGGAAAGGTGGACATGCAGCAATCTCTTCTCGTCCATTTTCCTCTCAGCACTCTGGGCATGCACAGCATGCACACATATGTGTCCAGTGTGTTTTTCAAGCCACCAGGTCTGGGACCCAAACCGCAGTCAGCCATGTGGGATCCAGCTGCATTAATCACCACAGCACTGGTTTGCCCAATCTTAAAAGTGTCTTTTACTTAAACTAGCCTGGGGTACATTTTTTCTTTTAAGGGATAGCGCCCATAAAGATGAGTGAGTGGGTACCCAATACTCAGATGTTGAGAGGAGAAATGCACTCCCAAACTGGGTTAAAATAATTTTCATTCTTGAAACATTATAGTTCAGAAACTGTTCTTAGATAGTTTTCAAAGTTCTTTAGGTTTCTTTTTTTAATTGCTTATAATGATTCATTTAATTCCTTTTGCTTTCATTATTTAAAGTTACCTACAGTTTAAACTTTCATTAAACAAATCTACTCTTACTCAAATATAATCACAGTCTAATTTCAAAGGCAAATAGAAATTAACTTGGGATTCTTTTTTTTTAAATGTATTTATGTATGTATGTATGTACTTATTTAAAATTTGACCAGAGAGGGAGAGACAAAAAGAGGGAGAAAGAGAGGAGAGGGAGGGAGGGAGGGAGGTGGGGGGGAAGAGAGAGAGAGAGAGAGAGAGAGAGAGAGAGAGAGAGAGAGAGGGAGGGGGAACGTTAGGTCTGAGACTCAAGCTGTGGTTGGTCATTTGGGAGTCTAACACCCTTAACCACCATGCAACCTGCCAACCCCCAGGATTATTTCTATTTTAAATGATCTGTATTTCACTTGCCTCCAATTTGGACACTAAATGTAAGTTCACCATATCTTTGTAGCCTAAGTGAGAGTTAGCCCAGTCATGGTGGTGCATGCTAAGATGTGCTCCATAGGTGGGACCACGTTGGAGGCCCAGGTCTAATTTCCCATCTAACCTGAAGGCTGAATGCATTGGCCCATGTCTGTGATCTGAGTGATTTGGGGGAGGTTGCATCAGGAGGATTCTGAGGTCAAAGCTGGTATGAACAACAATACTGATATCCTATCTGAGAGAGCTGGACATGGGGAGCCAGCAGGTGGCATGATGGTTAAGGCACTAGATTCCCACATGGCCGTCCATGGTTCAAGTCTTGGAACTGGCAGCTTGCTTCTCAAGGATCTACAGCAAATTTAAAAAAATAATAATAGTAAAATAAAATTCTATTTTTAGATGTATTTTTTACTTATTATTATTATTTTTTAATTTGACCAGAGGGTGAGAGAGAGAGGGAGAGGGAGAAAGCAAGCAGCCACATCCAGGACTTGAACTATGGTCAGTCAAGTGGGAGTCCAACACACAAACAACCATGCTACCTGCCAGCACATAAATAATTCTTAAAAAAAAAGTTGGACTGGTGCTTTATCCCTGTGGTCTTAACTACTCAGGAAGATGAAGTATGAGGACAGTAATAAAGTGAGACCTTGCTTAAAATGACAAAAATAATCCATGTACACACACACCACATACACACAGAATAATAACCTGATAATTATGAATTCTCATGAGAACTAAGCATAGAAAAGAGAGAGAAGAGTACCCAGGCACTATTCAGCCACCTCAATTTATTTATATACAGCTATATACAAATTCCAAAGACCAGACCTTTTTTTATTTAAAAAAAAAACCCAATTATTTATTAAATTTTATTTATTCATTTATTTATTTTTTAATTTGACCAGGGAGAGATAGGCAGGGAGAGACAGAGACAGAAAGTGGTAAAGCAAGCCACCAGATCCAGGACTTGAACTGTGGTCAGCCATGTGGGAATGTCCAGCATCTCAATCACCATACCACCTGCTGGTCCCGACCAGACCATTTATATAAGTGTTTTCTTGATAAAAGTAAATCAAAACTACTTTGGTATTATTTCATTAACTATTATCAAATAAATGTCAAATTATGACAGTGAAGTAAAATCACTTGAAAGAATGTCATATTTCAGGGCCAGCAGGTGGGTATGGGGATTAAGGCACTGGACTCCCATATGGATGACCACAGTTTCACCACAATGAAAAGGCGGCTTGCCTTTTTTATTTCTTCTCTTTCTCTCTGGTAGGTGCATATACCCTGTAGCAAATTAAAAAAAGAAAAATAAATAAAATAAAATAATTCTTTAAAAAAACCCCTTTTTTACGATTAGTCAAAATCTACTGGGAACCAGCAGTTAGCGTAATGGCTATGTCACTGGACTCCCACATAGTCGACAGTGGTTCGCATCCTGGACCCAGTGGCTTAAAACTCACGCTGGGCGCGTGTGCGTGCGTGCCCAAGATCCCGAGAGGAGAATGGAGGAGAAGGGACTGTGGCGTGACCATCCCCCCTGGGGGGTGATTTCTCGCTTTCTGTCTCTCTCTGTCTGGCAAGCGCACGTGCCCTATAGCAAAAATCTCTCCAAAAAATAAAAACACCTACTTAAAATAACACAGGTAAATGATGAAACTAATCCATGACGGATGTGATAGGTTACTTCTTTATTTTTAATTTTTTTTTTACTTTTTCCCACAAACATTTACATTTTTTAAGAATTATTTTATTTAACTCTATCTATCTATCTGTCTGTCTATCTATCTATCTTAACTTGACCAGAAAGGAACAGAGTGTGAGAGAAAGAGAGAGGGAAAGTGAGAAGCAAACAACCAGGTCCAGGACTCAAATCACAGTTGGTCATGGGGAGTCCAGGGCCCTCAACCACCGTGCCACCTGCCAGCCCTGACAAACATCTACTTCACATATCAAAAAATTTTGCTAATACTTCATAGTTCTTGACAGTTAATAAACAACTTCAAATTTCAAAAAACTGAATTTTAAAGATAACTTTCAAAATATTTATTATAACTTTGTGACTAACACAGACAGCATGTGTTTTGTATATACATATATAAAAAATATACACAATATGGGGGCCAGCAGGTGGTATGGTAGTTAAGGACACTGGACTCCCACATGCCCAACTGCAGTTCAAGTACTCGATCTGGCGGCTTGCTTTCTCACTTTGCTTCTTTCTCTCTCTCTCACCCTGTCCCTCTCTGGTAAAAAGAAAAAAAAAATATATATATACACACACACATAGACACACACACACATACACACACTATGTAAATATATAAATATGAATGATCTTTACTATTCTTATATAGGCAGGAATTGTAAATTAAACATTTTGTTAAAGTGTATACATACCAGGCTTTTCCCATTCTATTTCAAAGCAATGAACTCCATTTCTGATTCGTGTCTTAACAATTCTGAAAAACAATTCACCTAATGAGGTTTAACTGCATGAGTAGTTATTTAATTTTATTATTTAAAAAAATTTATTTAATTTCCATCTCTCTGTCTCTCCGGTGCCTACGCCCTATAGCAAAAATCTTCCCCACACAGAAAAAGATTATACTTCTAGTAATTACTTTCTTTTTTGGGGGGAAAATTCCTTTTCATTTTTTAAAACTTATTTAATTCTATTATTATTTTTTTTCAATTTAATATAGGGCATGTGTGCTCACCAAAGAGAGAGAGAGAGAAAGCCAGCAACCAGTTCTAAAAATCGAACTATATGGTTGGCCTCGTAGAAGCCATGTGGGAGTCCAGCACCTTACCAACTCACAACCATCTACTGTTTTATGCCTTTTCTTCTATACTTCCATATTTCATTTTGTCCTTACTTCTATTTCTCCAGTTATTTCTGACTAATTTCCAGGAAGCTTTCTGGGCTCACAACAGTATTTGGTTATTTTTTTATCATCCAGGTCAGCTTCTAACCTTCTTATAAAAACAGAGGAATTCCAACGTTGCTACTCGGTTTTAATAAATAAGTCTGACTCCTTCTGTGTCTTGTATTTTCAGTTCCTTTTCTTTTACCCTGCAAGGACTTATACCCCAGATGATGTTGCTGCTCCTTGACTCAGGGTTCTGTAAAATGAATTTCGGTGCCACCTGCCCCATTCACTTTACACTTTTGTGCCTTTTCTGGTCCACTGAAATACTTAGTTAACTTGGCTGTATCTCATTATATTAATTCCTTTTTTTGAGAGGTTTTCGCTATAGGGCATGTGTGCTCACCAGACAGAGAGAGACAGAAAGTGAGAAATCACCCCCGGAGGGGAGATGGCCATGCTGCAATTCCTTCTCCTCCATTCTCCTCTTGGGATCTTGGGCACGCATGCACAAGCAACCGGCCTAAATTTAAGCCACCGGGTCCAGGTCTCGAACCACGGTTGACTACATGGGAGTCCAGCGACACAGCCATTACGTCAACTGCTGGTCCCTATATTAATTCCTTTTTTATAAACTATTATTAGCATGTGTTTGAAGTCAAAAAGTATGTCTAGCATGAACTTACTATATTATCTTAACTTGAAGCCCTCAATAATCTTTTTTTTTTGAGAGATTTTCACTGTAGGGCGCGTGCGCTCGCCAGACAGACAGAGAGAGACATAGAGACAGAAAGCGAGAAATCACCCCCCAGGGGGGATGGTCACGCCGCAATCCCTTCTCCTCCATTCTCCTCTCGGGATCCTGGGCATGCACGCACACGCGCCCGGCATGAGTTTTAAGCCACCGGGTCGGGACACGAACCGCGGTCGACTACGTGGGAGTCCAGTGACATAGCCATTACGCTAACTGCTGGTTCCCATGCCCTCAATAATCTTTTAATAATATTTCAGTATGGTTTTCTTCCATCTTTATACAACTAAAAGCTATATAACCTACTACTAGAGATACTAAAAATATATTAGAGACATAACATATTTAAATGAAAATACGAAGTTTTCATAACATAGTTAAGTTGCAGTACCGAACTGGCTGTAGTTGATTGGAGTTCTTTCTACCAAGCTTTCTTTCTATCATGTCATAGCGAGTCAAAAGCACCAACAATTTCTCACATGCATAATGATTGGGCCACTCCATTTTTTCAAGAGTAAATCTCTGCAAATATAATAAAAATAAGATTTTATTGCTTTGAGATAAATACCTTCAGGTTATAGTTTTTCCTTGAGAATTAACATTAAAGTAGTATCAATGAGAAAATGCCAGAAAAAAACACGCTGATTAAGGAATCAGTATTGCAGAATTATGAAGTATAAAGTTTCTCAGTTTGAATGCCAGTATATTTCCTAGACACTGGGTAAGCTACTTATCCTCTCTTACCGTCAGTTTTTTAATTTTTTTAAGAGAGATTTTTTGCTATAGGGCATGGGTACTTGCCAGAGACACACAAGAGAGACAGAGAGACAGAAAATGAGATCCCTCTCCACCTCCTGGGGGGATGGTTACACTGTAATCCCCTTTCCTTCATTCTTCTCTCAGGATTTTGGGCATGCATGTACATGTGCCTGGCCTGAGTTTGAAGGCTCTGGGTTTGGGACTTGAACTGTGGGAGTCCAGCAATGTAACCATTACGCCATCTGCTGGACTTAAGCCTCAGTTTTAAGATCTGTGAAATGGAGATAATGTAACCCAGGCTACAGGTTATGAAGATTAAGTGAGATTACATGCAATGTGATAAATACTAAGTTTTAAATGTCCAATAAATGTTGGCTCATATTATTATTATTAATGTTATTATTGGAGAGGATTTTTTTGCTATAGGGCGCATGTACTCCCCAGAAAGAGAGAGACAGAGAGACAGAAAGCGAGAAATCACCCCCCAGGGGGTATGGCCACGCTGCAATCCCTTCTCCATTCTCCTCTCGGGATCTTGGGCACACACACACACGCCCTGCATGAGTTTAAGCCACTAGGTCTGGAACTCGAACTGTGGTTGACTACATGGGAGTCCAGTGACATAGCCATTATGCTAACTGCTGGTCCCTTGGCTCATATTATTGATATGGTTGTTAGTAGAGCTAAACAACAATTTATTGAGATACTCTGTGCCTCTAGATACTATACTCAGTTAATATAATCCTAGGCATATAGGTTAAGGTGCTGGACTCTCACATGGATGACTATGATTTGAATCTTGAACCTGGCATTTGAAACATGCGTGCCCAAGATCCCAAGAGGAATAGAGGAAAAAAGATTGCAGCGTGGCCATCTTCCCCCACGCAGGAGGGATTTCTCACTTTTTGTCTTATTCTCTGGTGAGCACACACACCCTAAAGGAAAGATCTCAATAAAAAAAGTTAAAAAGGCTGGCAGAGACTGGGGGTGGATCACCATGCAAGACCCTGTCCATGAGCTCTCTTTCTTATTCTGTCTCTCTTATTCATGGAATTAATAAACAAAGTTTCTAAACTGACAGCTTTACTGCCCATATATTCTTCAGTATTTATTTCTAATATTCAGTCCTTTATCACAGACCAGAGAACA